TTCTTGATCCTGACAAGGAAGATTAAACAGAAAAAAAAAGTTATGGCCATAGCATTAATGTAGATCTCTTCGTTAGATTTCTAACAAAAAAAAGTTTGCTCAAATCGGATCACCGAGTCAAAAGTTATGGCCAAAACAGTGCGGTGTCGTAGAAAATCTCTAATTTTGAGTTTTTGAGGAATTTCTTCGAAGATGAGGTGCTCGATGTTGAATGTCGAGAGAAGGCGGATTTTAAACAAAATTATAGAGATTGCCTCGAAGAATAATGGCGAAATCCACCTGCAAAACAAACCTCAGAATATCGAAATCTGCAGGATTTCAAAATGTTTGAACATCGAAAACTTTGGAGTTTCGAAAACCTCATAATCTCGAAAACTTGATGTTTGAAAAACATCAGAACATCGAAAACTCCTGAAACATTTATAAGCAGGGAATCATTTAGAGATCATATAATGTAAAGCTTCGATGAACTGCAGAGAATGTCAAGATTCGAATTATGAGTTCCAAGAAACTGCAAACTTTGAAAGATTCAAAACATCGAGAAATTTTGAAAATCTCGAAATCTTCAGAATGTCGAGATCCAAAACATCGAGATCCCAAATGTCGAAATCCCAAAACTCGAAATTCCTAAACTCGAAATTCCAAATCTCGAGATTACAAATCTCGAGATCTTGATGTCGAGATTCAAATCTCGAGATCTTGATTTCGAGATTCAAATCTCGAGATCAAGATGTCGAGATGCAAATCTCGAGATCAAGATTTCGAGATTCAAATCTCGAGATCAAGATGTCGAGATGCAAATCTCGAGATCAAGATGTCGAGATGCAAATCTCGAGATCAAGATGTCGAGATGCAAATCTCGAGATCAAGATGTCGAGATGCAAATCTCGAGATCAAGATGTCGAGATGCAAATCTCGAGATCTCAAATGTTGAGAAGAAGAAATCGAGTCCCTAAATGTCGAGATCCTGCAAAACGAAAACATTGATTTTTGAAAATCTGAAACCTGTTCTGAATAGCCCTGAAAGTCGAGATTCTCCTGTATCAGTTTCAAGCCAAAAACGTTTCTGCAGCAGTGAAAAATAAGGATTTCGAGATCTCAATGTAGAGATCTTCGAAATATAAATATTGCAGAAAACGAAAAAAAAGGTATGCTGCTGGATCGGTTTTGAAAGGCGAATCCAACAGTATGATTTTTACAAAATTTCGTTCACAAACGAGATTACAGGAGCAAATCTCTACATGTAGAAAAACAGAAGAAAAAACAGAGCAGTTCTTCGTTACATCCAAAAAAAATCGCAGATAGATCCAACCTGTTTCACGCCTCGGCTCTGATACCAAATGTTAATCCCAAAATACTAACAATCATACAACCATAGCAGTGATAAAGAAGCAGATAGAAAGAAATCGATAAGATTGAACGCGAATATGGTATACCGTATGAACCTGCCGCTACTCTCCCTGGAGAAGGAGAGCAGCGGCAACCCTAATTTCTCTCTATCTCGCCTCTACGCCTCTAAGCCTCTTTCGATTAGTTTTTTGGGTTCCTGTAAGTTAGCCTCCTTTTATAGGAGAAGTTGGCTAACTTACGGGTTACAAGGAAGCCCACGGGCTGATACACATTTGTGGCCCGTATTACACTTTTAATTAATAACTACATAAATACAAAGATAGCTAACTAGATTGAACACCATAAAATATTCCCAACACACCCCTATTAGAAGTAGGTCTTTCGGTAGACTGAACTTGGAGAGCTTGATCAGTAGGTTTCTCCATCTTTCTTTCTACCATCCGTTTCTCATAGGCCTCTAGAGAGCCTTGCAGTTGTTCCTATTTTAGAGTAGTAAGATCCTTTGCTTCTTCGATTGCTACAGAAACATGATCAAATTTTGAAGTAAGAGTTCTCAAGACCTTCTCTAAACAATCTTTCGTTCTGTTATTTTTTCTCCGCAAGTTTTCATCTCATTTGTCAAAGCAAACTCTATAAATACGTGTACCATGTAGTGGTTGAATAAAGGGTATTATTGTCCCTATAATTCGTTCTTTGGCCTGAACAAATTGGATAGAAATCAGAAATGTAAATGTACCAATAATTACACTCCAAAAGAATGAAAAATCTGAAATCATGATATCCATTAGATATTATTATGACTTAAATACATACGGAGTATGATTTAATTTATTATGAAAATCTATAGCAGCTAGCTCACATTATATTGCAGTATTTGCAATATACAGGCCGCATCTATTAATTTGTTCAAGCATGCATACATGCAGTTGATGAAACTATAAAAAGAAGTTTAACCCTAGTAGCTAGCAAAATTAGCAATTGCATTTTCTTTAATTATACGGTATTATGTACTCCGTATTTAATTTATGTAGTGATCCACTGATCCATCTCTACATATGTTTTAATTACTTGTATTTGCTGAAAAATAAAAAAGAATTGAAATAAAATAGAATTAAAGATAACTCCATACTCATTTGTTGAGTCGTAGCCGCCTCTGAGAGGCTTTCTTAAATCGGAAATTCGATCAAATTGACGGTGTGCATATTTTAATTTACCAAGTCAGCCTCACTTTTAATATGGACATCCGCATAGTAGACATTTTTTTACTTCCACCTCAATTTATTCAACGTGGCACTGCATTTTCTGGAGTGCAAAGCACCGTTAAAGATGCTCTTAATACACTTCAACAAATTGAACAGAAATGTAAATCAATATATAATTCCTATGATGGAGAAAGACAAACTGATGAAGCAAATAAATACTCTTATATATAAATAGATGACTTTATATTAATATAGATAGATAAAGACTTCACTCCTAAACTGTTTGAGACTCTTTAATTGCAAATAAATACATAAAGAGTGCTATATACACCAATAAATTAATGATCCGGTCTCGAAAATATTAAATTATCAACTTGAAATGACACAATACAAAAATTAAAACAAAGTGATATTTGTTACCAACTCTTCAAAGTTTAGTAACATCTTGAAATCTTTCAGCTAAACCTTCATCCACATAAGGTTGATAAAAATATCGGATTTTCATCCTCATCTGGTTGATACGAGGTCGAGGCTTCAGGAGGATCGTTAGATGGTTGTGGGGGGTTGAACTGAGACATTGATGCACCGTATGCGTCATATACCATACGTTGCTCCCATCTCATTTCAGCAGGGTCTCCCCACGCACTCATCTCAGCAGGGACGTTACGAGACGAACCTACCGTTTGTGGTAAAACAGATGGATCCAAAGGTTCGCCATGAGAAGTCACTACTAGAAAAATGTCTTACAGTGACACCAAATTAGTGTCACTGAAAGTTTCTGTGACACTAAAAAAGTGTCGCTGAAAGTGGGGGCTAGTGACACTACGAGTGACACTTTTTAAGTGTCTCTACAAGTGTCACGGAATTGTGACACTACGATATCACAATATAGTGACGCATTGGCGACATAGCTATTCGGCGACACTTTTAAATCATATACTCTAGTGACACTTAAGTATCACTAAATAGTAATACCTTGGCGACACTACGCTATTACAAAACTTAATGACACACTAATACTATGAAATCATACACATGATACATTGATTACAATCATAATTTAATACTAATAAATAACCAAACGTTCAAATATTTTTATTTATATCTCAAATTCACATGTAAATGTGATTGTACATTCTACATAATTCACAGGGACATATCACGAAACAATAAGTAAAAACAAGAACAAAACGCTAACAAATCCAACTTTTAGCCCATTCTTCACAGGGCCTTCACGTTTCTTCTTATACATAGATATCATATCTTCTGCTGCACAGAATGAAGCCATTGTTCTATTACTACATTTGGACTCAGATGCTCAATTGTTATCTATCAACTGCAAAGAATGTGCTGGGTGTTGTATCTTGCATATGTGGAATTCTGCAAACCTAAAAGAAGTAAGTTAGAATGAAAAAAATATCAGGAAGTAAACATTAAACCTAGTCAACTCTAAGAACCTGATCTGCAAACCGAGTTAGAATAATAACTCTAAATAATCGAGTTATTACTTGAGAGTGTGCAGAAATCAAACGTTAGAAAGAATGAGAAGAAGAAAAAGTGGCCCCTGTTTGGTTTGGAATTTTGGCGAGAGAAATATGAGATATATTTTCTTTACATGTTCTTAAATTTCTCGGGTAAAATGTACATGTTGACACATTCAAAATTGTAACATACAAAATCACCTGGGCATACCCCTGCTCAAAGAAAAAACAAAACAGCAAATTGCGGGCATAAGGCAGACACATTGTCTTACCCGCAAATAGCAGCCACAAACCAAACAGCAAGGGACAGACCCCTTACTGTAACTAAAACAAAAAGCCTAAACAGTCCACAACCTTCTATAATCAGATTCCAAATAATAAACTCTGGAAATCGTATCACTAACCGGATCTGCAAGAGAGCTAAATAAGATATAGAGCAAATCAATGTTTTTTTGGGCAATAGAAATAACTACAACAGAAATGAGTTGGTCAAAAGGTTATGGAGAAGATGACCTCTGCCTAGTTGGTCACATTAGAGAGAGCTCTTTTTGAGTAAAAAATGTAAATGAGGTTATATAAACAAGGCTGAAATGGCTCTAGAAATGTATGGAATAAATATGATTGTAGTTGATGAGCTCTAAACCTGCATAGAGGAGAGTCATATAAGTTGCACCAATGGTCACATAACCGTTGCAAGGGATATATTGCGAGCTGAAACTTATGTAGAAAAATAATGTTACTAAATAAAATATTGAACCCAAAAGAAAACTGATAGACAAAATAATATAAAAAAATTTCGGGCCCTGTGTGGTTGGGCGGCCTAACTCTCCCCAGGGCTGGCCCTGAACATAAGTGTTCTTAATGGGTAGCACTTTTCCATTTGCTTTCCTTTCACCCATTCGTTTCTGAAACAAAGGAAACAACAAGGTCAGAATGTGGTTGCAGAAGGCAAAAGAATAATAATAACAAAGGGCAATAAGATCAGAAAAACTGGAGATTTGCCACCGGGAGAAAGGTATCATAAACAACTCAAAGGCTGGAGAGTGGAAGCCCTTCTTGACACCACTTGTTACTTTCTTGGATGAGGACCTTGTGACTGGAGTCAATATAGATCTTGCTGTTGACAGAATGCTTTCTCCTTTAAGAAGAAAATCATATATCAAGTCTACAGTTGGTTTTGAGGATAGGCAAACTGGATCTGACTCGGAAGTTGTAGATGATCCAATGAACTGTAGCACATAATATGGTTCTATGTTCGAATCTGCAGATGATATAGAACCAGAAGAAAGTTCCAGCAGTGAAATGTCATTCCATCTCTGCATAACTGATGAACGGGGTGTGAAATGCAAGCCGATTCTGAATAACACACCAATAAAACTTGGACCTGGTGTAAAGGTATATCTGGACTGGACTGAAAAAGAGTATGAATCATTTGATGCTAGTTATCTAAAGGATCTTCCTGATGTACACAAAAGCGGACCTGCTGCGCAAAAAACAAAGCCAGAAGCTATCTCCTTATTTTCCTGTTTAGAGGCATTCTTGAAGGAAGAACCATTGGGGCCTGATGATATGTGGTATTGCCCTAGCTGCAAAGAACATAGAAAAGCAACAAAGAAGTTAGAATACCACTAAGGATTAACCCACTAAGGTTATTTTCTAACGCAGAGAAGTTAGAATGCCACAAAGGATCTTCCTGATGTACACAATTCACTGGAACTTGCTTCTAGCAATTGCATCTTTGTCAATTCTTCTTCAATAACTTGCATAACATGCTGAAAACATAGAATTGCAAAAAAAATTGAATCTCAACAGATAGAAAGGATTAACCCACTAAGGTTATTTTCTAACGCAGGGAAAGTTTTTTGTCGTTTTATTTCAATTGGGACAAAATAGTAGATTAATACAAAAAAATGAATTAGAAGAAATCATTCAACTATAACCTAGCGATTAGATAAACTGAAAGAAGAGAAATTTACACACATACCATAAAATGGATGACAATCAGTGAGGGAGTAGACTCGCGAGGCCGGGGAGAGAACCCTCAGAACCAATAGCTTGTTTGGGTTGTACAAACGAGAAAAGAGGGGTGGTGAGCGTGTGATGGTTTGAGCAATCAGTTGTGGGAGTTAATCCACATGGAGATGAAGACTCGTGGCTGGCATAGTAGCGATCAATGTTGAATCCTGCAGATGAAGCCAACTGTGTATAGTTTGAAGCGCGGAGGTCGTTTGACGGTGAATCGGTGATACAACCAACGGAGTATGGGCTGCGTCGACGGTGATCTCTTCTACTCTGGAGTCTGGGCTGCGCGTCGACGGTGGTCTCTTCTACTCAGGAGTCTGGGCTGCGCATCGATGGCGTCTCTTCTGCTCGATCTAGATCTGGACTTTCGTAGCCTTCACACTTCGAGATGTGGAGTGCTTTAGGTATGTGTCTGTGCGTCGAGGTCTTTAGGTTTAGCGGACAGGAGTTTAACTATTTACTCCGTAAAAAATACTCCGCATGATTTTTACTCCATATTAAAAATTGAGTGTCACTGACATGCTAAAATCACTTAGGGCCGATACAATAGTGTCATAAATGCCTAATGTAATGGAAAGTGTCACTAAAATAGTGTCACTGTAAGCAGTTTTTCTACTAGTCCAATTATAATAATTAAATTGGGAATGAAACCGTCCGCGTACAAATCCCACCCAACTTCGTCTGGGTGTTTAAATTTGAGATTTTTACACTTTGAACATGGACATCTGATTTTATCACCACTCATATAAGCCGGGTGTTCAAGTGCGAATGCAATAAACTCCTCAACCCTTCAAGAAAATTTGATTGCATTCCATACAATACCGCATGTTTATCATACATCCAAATTCTATTTGGTCTATACATTATGCTTGAATATTAAAATAAAAAATTATAATATCACTAGATGAACTAATATGTTCATATAATATCATTAATCATTTCAATTATTAACTAATAACCAATATTATGATTTCAACACTAAATTATTACGTTAATGGCATTAATTAATTCATAAACATTAAAAATATTTTTTTATGTGTACGAACATTTATATATTAAATTTCACTGAAATTCTCTTAAAATTAACTAACATCCAATTAATATTATTAAACTATAAACATGCACAATACGTTAATGGCATTTAATCCACAATACTAAAATTATCAACATCTTAATCTTATTAATAATGCACATTTAACAATTCACTAAATTAAATAATATGAGCAAATCCAATAATTTGAGCATATATATAAACTCATTTAAATTAAATAATACTTAAATTTAACTAATATTATAAAAACTTTAACTAATTTACGTAATTCACAATCATAATTCATCATACGTAAGTAATGTTTCAATTAACTAACCCTAATTTAAATCATTATAAATCCTAAATTAGGCATTAACAATAATTGCTAATAAAGAAATTAAATCCTATAATTATATTTAACCATATATAAACTCATTTGAATTAAATAATACTTACATTTAACTAATATCATCTATAATTTAACTAATTTACGTAATTTTAATTAAATACAACTTAATTAACCCTATGTTTAATTTACACCTACGTTTAACTAATTTTAAGGAATTTATTTCGTTAATTAATTAACAAACTTTTTTTAAATGCATTTAATTTAAATTTAACTAATATTAACAAAAGTTTAACTAATTTAGCTAATTAATTAATTTAACTTAATGCGTCACTACGATTAAACCTACGTTTAAGTAACTAATTTTTTACTAAATTAAATGAAATTGACATAATTCATTAATTAATAATCTCTCTAATTTAACAGTTTATTACACTTAAAATGAATCAACTAATTCATACAAAAAAATACGTAATTCAAATTACATAACTTATCTGCATAAACAGGGAAAATGATAGAAGATGGCTAGATTACATCCTTCAATTCAATCTGGAACAGTTGGTGTGGTTTTGTTGAATGAATCTGATGCAGCATATATAAAATTATTAGTCACGGACGTAGTCACGGATGTGCCCGTGACTACGTAATTTCATACGATTTATCAATACACTTTAAATTTGGAGCGTTGAAAAAATTGATTTTGGAACTTGTCACGGAATTAGTCACGGAATTTGTCACGGATTCGTCCGTGACTAATTTCAAATTTAAAAAAAAACCACCGGAGGCAAAATTGGGTTGGCCGGAATAGGTTAGTCACGGATATAATCTGTGACTAAACGTAGTCACGGTCCTATCCGTGACTATTTTTTTAAACAATCCGTGACTAGCCCGTGACTAGAACCGTGACTAACTAGTCACGGACCAAATCCGTGACTAGCATCCGTGACTATAGACAAATTTTTTTGTAGTTTATATATATTATGTGATGAAGTTGTATCTATATTTTGAACAAACTCATTTGAATATGTCTACACAATTGAGGCCTTACAAAATAGAAGCCCATATACGAGTGCAACGGTTACAATACTTGTCCAGATTTCACACAAATTTCTTCTTAATAAACACAAAATCTAAATGTAATGTATCATAATAATACTAAACATATACGCTTTTGCATTTTTACATTCCCAACAATCTTTTAGGAGGTACAACAGATGTTTACCACTGATGTCTATTTTATTGGAGACCCCAAAATATCTAGTATGTAGTAGTAAGTATAGGTTGATTATTTTTTTGAATGTTATGTATTTTTTCAGATTCCAAAAGGTGTATAACTTTAAAATTATCTAATTTGTGTACTTTAATTATTACTTTCTTTGTTCCCTTACATTAGAACAAGAGAAGGTGACGCAGTTATTAAAAAAATTGATTAATGTGGTTGATATTGAATTGATAAAGTAAGAATAAAGTAAGAATGATACAGAAGCACACAAATTTACCAAATTCGGTGCATGACAATCTTACTGGGATAAATTGAAAATGAAAGAAAAACAATATTAATAGGACGGATGGAATATAAACCTTATATTTCATTAAACTATCTCATTTGTTTGTGCTCATTGTCAAAATTTGTATTTTCTTTTGCTTAAGGAGTCTCAATTCGCAATTTGAAATAAAAGCCTTCAAATTCTTTTTAAGATGCTTTAAGACGCTCTTTTGCCCAAAAATTTTAACGAGCACGCTGCGTGCTCTTTATTGAACACGTAGCTCATTTCAGCCGCTCAATTAAGAAGAGTACTCCCTATTAACTATTTCAATTCAATTAATTAGTACTAAGTTAAAATATAATTTGTGGTTAAAATATGGCACACAATTTTAGCTTTCAATTTTAAACAAATAAGATGAACTTAGATAAAGATCTTTCTAAGTACATGTATATATTTCTACATAATTTTTTATTCAGGTTTTTATTTCTGAAATTAAATAATTAATATGTTTAATTCTCAATCTTATACTCCATTTATTCATAAAACTTGGTCATATTGACTATATTGATCAATGATGGTTGTCAAGTTTGATCATTGATACTTTTAAACCAAACCTATTTAAAATATGAAAATTATATGAAAATGTTATTTGTTAAAAATATTTTCATAAAAGTATAAATGTTATTAATTAACTTCGCACAAATATAACAACCAATGTCTTAAAATGTATTAGGCATTAATCGGGTGCCCGTCTAGCGGCTAGCGGCCGGGCGAGAACTAATCGGACACATGAAATTATGAATAATATTTTTATCAATACTTTTGCATAAAAATGATAAGTATTATTGTGTTTAATTTATGTGTGTCTATGTGTACACACACAATTTGACATGCATGAAAGACAGAACGTCACCTTTACTCGACTTCATTATGTAATAAATATTAATAATAAAATTTAAAAATATATAAAATCCTATGTATCGTATTAGTTGCAACATTAGAATTTATACACTATTCATGTACTCTACTTTCACTATATTTTTTTATTTACGTATGTGAATTATTATTATTTTTTGAAAAGTATTGTTGAATTCGTCTCAATACAAAGTTTCATAATCTAAATTTTACATTTTATTTACTAATAAAGAATTAAATATAATGACAATCAAAGTTGTGCGTTGGAAAACGTTAAAAAGGGAATATTGCAACTAAAAAAGAACGGATGGAGTAGTTTTTAATGTTTTCTATTTTAACAGCCTGTAAACTCCAATTTTAGGTTGCACGGATTTCAGTTAAAAATTGTGATGATTGCTCCAGATCAATCATCACAAATTTTGGACAATTAGATTTCGGGACTTATCAGGCTTAATGACATGAAAGTTATTTAATTGTGCATTTTAGGACACTGGTTGTTATAATTGTGCGAAGTTAATAATTTTTATACTTTTATGAATATATTGTTAACAAATAACTTTCCATTTAATTTTCATATTTTAAATAGGTTCGTAATAAAAATATCAAAGATCAAATTTGACCATCATTGATCAATAAAGTTAATATGATCAAGTTTTATGAAACGGTGGAGTATAAGATTGAGAATAAAATATATTGATTATTTAATTTCAGAAATAAAAACTTGAATAAAAAAAGGTGACAACTCCGGTACCCATTTAAAAAATGGGATACCGTACCTACCATTCACTTGATTGGTTCAAATCATTACATTATTTTTAATTTAAATTTAAATAATCCAACTACATCATTCTGATCGGTCCATGTGGACAAAGGTACGTTACCTTAAGGGTGCCATAGAATCTATCTACTTATTAATTAGTAGAAACATTGTGGGCGGCGGCCCCCATTTGCCCCCTGTGTCTGCCGTTGTATGTATTACAATAACATACATATCAGAAGAGTAGCAATCTTGTCAATAACTCCTGAATTTTTTTGATGAATTTGTTTGAGCATTTCTTCATCTGTCCAAGGTATTTTTTTGATGGAATTGTCACTACTACAAAAGAGACATTTCACGTCGGTTATTTTGCACATTTCACGTCGGTTTTATAAGAGAGGTCTATGGAGGAGACGTTAAAAGTGGACACATTTTACGTCGGTTTTAAAACCGACGTTAAATATTACTTTTTACGACGTTTTTTTTAAATAACCGTCGTGAAATAAGTTTCTAGAAAACTCTACCACGACGGGTTTTAGTTGATAACCGATGTGAAATATGTTTTTATGAGACAATACTACGACGGTTTTGCTTGATAACCGTCATTAAAAGCCTTCACCAGAAAAAAAAAATTGTGTTGGTTTTCCGATGAAACCAGAAAACCGGATTTAAAGTAACTGTGGAATAGGATAGATAAGTGCATATCAATAACTAATACTAAAACTTCATCACAGATTGTTCATTAAATACATATCATCGAGTGGAATACAAAGCTACTAGAGCTTCGTTGAATGGCCTAAATCCTTGAAACTAAGACAGTGAAATTAATCTTCATATACAAACTTCTTTCCTTCCCAAGAATGAGAATGACAAACTCTTTGCAAAGAGAGGAACTTTATTTACCTGAAAGTATTAACATGACGTTAACTTTTTCTGCAAAAGAAATTAACCAAACAAGCTACTGTAGAGTAAGGGATTTAAAACAATATTGAAACCAATCAGTCAACCTCATATTAATTGACACTGCAAATGAATCAAGAATCAGTTCTCAATTCAAGTCTTACAAGGACCTAACACAAGAACAAAGAGAACACATCCACTCCTAATTAACAGTTTCTTTGATGGAAGCTAAGTGCAATTTCAGTGTTCATGACGGAATGGGAGCATGATGTAGAGTAGCGTAAAGAATCATTTGGCACACCACAAATGTATCGACGTGCTTCTAAGAAGCCAAGAAATGTAAGAAGGAAGATGATTTCTGTACCAATAAAGAGCATTCAGAACATTTTTGTAGTCTTATAACCATTTCAAAAAGGTGGATCCAAAAGCTTTTGAGAGACTACGAGTGCTGCAAGAAGAAGCAAAATTTAGGGCATTGGGATAAGCAAACATATCAAAGTTATATACCATATCAAAAGCTTAATGGTATGGCTATCGTAACAGCTAAATCCACCTTGCCAGCAAACAGTGAGACTGACTAAAAATTCTAAATGAGGTATAATTCCTAGACCAAAGAGACACAATAGGAAATGCAAGATGCACTAGAAAGGCTTGTTGTTGGAAGCCTATGTGAAGTAGGGCAATCAAACTATTGGCAAAAGCAATAAAAAGAAGCCTTATACAAGCACGACTACACAAGATAGGATAAGCATACCAAAGAAAACATATAAATCAAATAAAAAAACTAGAAACTGAATATTACTGCATGATATATTACCAATTGTTCTCTCGAAACAAATCTTCAAATTCTACCAATTTAGCAAAAGGTGATTCAGATTTATGGTTTGCTCCATTGTAGATTCTTAGAACTACCTATAAGTAGGGGTTTGCATCACTACATGAAAGGTTGGCCACCTTCACCAACATCTTTGATGTCAAAACCTGTATTTATATCCAATAAATGAACCGAGGCAACAAGTTAGGCCAAATTAAAACATTAATTAATTGGAACAAAAGAAGCTATCATAACAATAACACATCACTATCATATCCTCGATGTTCCTAACTTACTAGTTAGTGAATTGCATAGTTTAACTTGCTATAAAGTTAAAATGTATTATGAGGCCTAAATGGTTCAGGGCCACTCTGTTTTCTGCAACTAAGAAACAAACAAATTTGTTTAAGAGATTTAGAACAAGCTACTATCTATTAAGGGATTTACAACAATAGCGACAAATGAATTACAACCCCATAAAATGCTAAACTTTAGCCGCAAGGTAAACCAGAACATGAAATCAACAATTATATTTTTACCCCCCCCCCCCCCCCCCCCCAAACTAGAAAAATGTTATAAAGTACATTCACATTGAGGAAATCCCATGCTTTCCCAACTCAGATTTAGAGTTTCTATTTATCTGCTATAATGATAGAGTTGATGAACCCACTGAAATCAAGTGTTATTCTGCACAAATTTATCAAAATTATATTTGCAGCACTCATCTCATTCTTGCACTGTGGGTTTGATACCATTAAAACAGATAAATAGAAAATCATTAAACTACTAACTTTAAATGCAAAGATACAAAAAGTGATATAATTTGATTATGAATTTGACATAAAAATTTACCTTCCATCTAGGACAAGGGTTGGATGTAAGGGCAGCTAGAGTCGATAAGTAAATAAAAACATAAAGCATAGAAGAGCGGCTAAAACATAAGAATCCTCTCTAAATCAAAGAAGAATCAGGTCTCAAACAAAAAAATAACTTGTAAATAAGTATAGAAAAGAGAAAAAAAAGATGAGTGAAAAATTCAAACACTAGAAAATAGAAGACTAGCTCTACACTGACATCTAGAAGAGTAACAAAAACGAGTGCCCAAACAGGACAATGTTCGAAAAATAGAGCAATGTTCAAAATAGGCTATTCATAGAAATAACTTCAGATAAAGATCCAAGAACCCAACTGTCCATCCGAAAATGCTATGTGCACCTACTTGATACGATGTTAAATTGATTTTAAAACTTATTGACATTGGGCCTTTTTTTTTTTGAAAGTTAGTGAAAAGATGCTATACTTTTATGTCATAATATGTTTATGTTACTAGCTCTATTCTTATTTTTGTCATTTAGATGTTCCCACATATACAAATAAAACAAAAGAAAACAAAAATTGAGATAAATATAATATCACTAGAGTATCCTTGTTGTTTAAAATAATACGCAGCATGCAGGGCTTGTGAATGTGGAAGCATAATGGTAAAAATGGTCAATTAATGCTATATGGATAGAACGAAGGAATATTGTAGATAGCAATTAACAATTTTTAGAGCACTAATCATGAATGAACAGTGAGAAAAGATTTTAAAACAATGGTGCAGTCAGTCAACTATCTGACCCCAGCTTATTAATAAACAAGACTATATGGACCCTATAACATGAAACTCTAATGTTTTGATTCATCTATATGTAGATTGAGAAATATACTGAGAATCTGCCATTTCAAATTAGAGTCCTAACAGCATAAAACAGTCTCTTTCCAAAAAAACAGTACAATAAGAGCATAAAACATTTGAGTGACAACTAACACTATATAAAAAGTGAGACCGAATGAAATTTTACCACATAAATTAAGCTTGAGAGTTGGAAAAAATCATCAAAAAGCTTTATCATTCCTTTTGACCACAAATTGCTAGAAAATACATTCTTCAACCTCTCATTATGGATGAATTAATCAATTGCCAATTATTTAGGGGCATTGAAATTTAAACACACTGGGGCAGGACCTGCAATATAAACACATGCTCTCTCATTTTGTCCTTCAAATATACCTAAAAATAAGTAAGTACACACACACACAAAACTTGGAATCCCAAATGAGATTTACTTCAATTCCAAATCAAATTTGTTTAGATTAATATGTAAAAATTTGCACATAATCTTCCTATGAAATGGATTTTATAACCATAAAATTAAAATTAGCAAATATTCTTCCCGTGGGAGGGCTCTAATTTCATTATATAAGAAACTTGAGCAAATGATATTTTTAGCCAATCAAGCATGAATTCAAAAAGCATCCAAATTGAAGATCGAGGTTATTCAGATGAGGTAAAACATGTGGACACAGACCTTTACCCAGCTATACTCTTCCACACTGACTGAAAAGTAGCAGCTGTGAACTGAACTAAATTAAACCAAACTTTTTTTCATAACAAATCAAAATATAACATTTGGGTGGTATTTTGATATGCCCTTAAATTAACATAAAACCCTGAATCTGGAGAAAGGTATTTTAAATACACAATAAAAAGTAATGAAAAAGTTCAATTACGCAAAAATAAGAATGGAAAATGTACTTGAGATGAAGAAATCATTGAATCGGTGCAGCAAGAGTAAATGGCTTCCCGTGAATACCGCACCCTGCCTCCTCAATCGTCCAAGTACAAGAATTCTTGTGATTATTGGAAACTCTGACCTTAATCGTCCACTCTGAGCATAAGAAGCTAATTAGTTATGAGAGGAAGATATCAGATCGAAATTGAGCATAGAAATATTCCTTGTAACCTTGCCCATTTCGGAGGAAGAGGTGTTCGCAAAGAAAGTGAAGAAGATGAAGCGGTCGGCGGCGGAGGTTTTCACAAAGGAAGAGAAGAAGCAGATGAGCAGTCGGCGGATCCGGAAGAGGTTTTTGCCAAGAAAGATAAGAAGAAGATGACCCCATCAGTGGAGGCGGCTTTAATATGCAGTGCGTCTAAGCAGAAGCGCCCTAAAATTAAAATTGCTTTCCAGGACGGTCTTAAAAAAATCGATGTGTAAGACAAAACACAGACGGATCTATTAAGGCAGTTATTGGATAAACAGCCGTTAAAAGAATATGTACTTTTCCGGAAACAACATACAACGTCAGTTTTTAAAATAACTGACGTAGAACATTTCTTAGATTGCTTATAACGACAGTTCTTTAAGAACCGACGTTATATGTGTGACATGGTATGTCACTTTTGTAGCAGTGTGTTTAACCATTTTCTTCATCAAGTGATCTAGGTTATACTCACCAAATTCTAGCTTAAAATTCAATCGGGAAAGAAGTGTAATACGGAGTAGATTATTTAAAAACATTATGTCTTATATATAAACAACACAGTGATTTTCAATTCCATATTTGACCGACTTTCTAATTAAATTTGTAGCTGAAATTTAGTAGGCATAAAATAGACTTGATGAAACATATACTCAAATAATTGCCCTTCATATTGGAGCATGCTAAAACTATATACGATGAATTGTGAATAAATTCTCGTTATCTGAATATTAAATCTTATAAGTTCTTTTTCCTGTACGTTGCAAAAAGATACTCGTAACTTTTTCGATAGTGGCCGGCATGCGCTGGTGTGGTTATATATGGAGTGAAGTACTTAATAATAATTTAAATACTCTAATATCTTGTTTGTATTTGTAAAGATTAAGATTCTTTGTCCCTTCTTCGGATCATGACGAAGCTTAACAGATATATACGATGGGCGTTTATTGGTAACACGTGGACGAATAATTTAGCCCTATAAAGTAAGACTCATAGGTCATCCTAATTTGATTTGCCTTCTCTTAATTACCCATTTCCAGGCATTTTTGTAAACATACTAATTCCCTGCACCAGGCAAGAGTGCGAAAATTTTAACGAGCACGCTGCGTGCTCCTCCTTGAGCACGTAGCTCATTTCAGCCGGCTCAATTAAGAAAAGTACTCCGTATTAACTATTTCAATTTAATTAACTAGTACTAAGTTAACATACTTCCTCCGTCTCTTTTTAGTTGCAACAGTCAACATTTCACGTTTGACAACGCACAACTTTGACCGTCATTATATTTAATTCTTTATTAGTAAAAATAAAATAAAAAGCAGATTATAAAACTTAGTAATGAGACGAATTTAACAATATTTTTCAAAAAAAATAATTCACATACATTAATAAATAAAATGTAGTCAAACTAAAGTGCATGAATAGTGTATATATTCCAATGTTGCAATTAATGTGATACGGAGGATAGCATATAATTTGTGGTTTCTATACGGTACGTACTTTTTAGTTTTTAAACAAATATGATAAACTTAGACAAAGATCTTTCTGATGAGTACATGTATATATTTCTACATAATTTTTTTATGGTAGATTCTATGGTACCCATAAGGTACCATACCTTTGTCCATATGAACCAATGAGAATGTAGCAGTTGAATTATTTAAATCTAAATTAAAAATGATAAAGTGGTGTGGTCCAATCAAATGAATGGTAGGTACGGTACCCCATTTTTTAGAAAGGTACCGGAGTTGTCACCTTTTAATTTTGCTGCAAATGCTTATGTTGGTAGTCAAGCTATGAGGGTCATTAGCTAACCATTGGAGATGCTCTTAATGAAATAATTCGTATATATTTTGAAAGAGAAAGAACACTTGACACATAAATAGAAAAGGGCAATTCTTGGTGTAAAAAAAAATTGTGCACAAATTGTACATTGTCTGTGTACACAATACTGTATTTAGCCAATTCCATGGTGATGATACCATCTGGTCCAGAGTTGGACAATGATGTCCTAAAAGTCTCCCGTGAGTTCAGTATAGTGCCAAGGAGCCACAAGCCTTGTATCTCATCTTCAAACTTGATAACCATTCCTGTAAGTTGATTTATGATTCACTGAAAAGAATTCAAATGAATTCAAAAGAAGTAGGAGGGTTTTGACATCAAATCATGCCCTCTTTTAAACGAATTTCATAAGTACACAGACTACTATGGAGGTTTTATGTATATTTTGTGTACAACTCATGTACTATAAGAGTTTTCTATAGAAAATGAAATGACATTAACTTTGTTACTGGTACGCGTGCCAATAAATAATCTTCACGTTATTTTCCTCTGCACCAAAAGTTTATATACTCTCTCCGTTCTTTATTAAGTGTCCCCTTAGACTTTGACACGAGCTGAGTGTTGATGGTGAAATAATAGAGGTAATCTAAAAAGTGTAGTGGTTTGTGTTTAAATGATAAAGTAGGAAAGAGAAAAGGATAAGAGTAATAAAAGTGGAAGTAAAATGGTATTTTGATTGAAAAAGCTTACCAAAAAAGAGATGCAAATAATTAAAAACATCCCAAAAAGGAATACGAAATAGTTGATAAAGAATGAAGGGAGTTTTCTATTCGATGATTCATATTCCTTACCTTTTTCCTTAAGTGATGTGAGTATAGCTAGTAGTATTATGAATTTCAAATTTCTATTTGAAAATCAAAATGTCTTATGGAGAATTAAAACATAGATTAAATGTCAAAATATGAGTACATGTATAAACTTGTTAGGTTGATATTAAGAGTTTTCAGCAGTTGTTTAATATACTTCGTAATATTTAGCATACACATGTGCACTTTCACTTATGTGTAGTTTTTGTATACCGAAATTTAAAAATTAAAATGTCTTATGTCATTTTGTATAGATTAAAAATGACATATGTCATTTTGAATCCTAACTGACATGTTTTTTTACTCTTAAGTTTTTAGCGTGTCAATATGTGTACAAATTAAATAGGCAAATTATACCATGCAACCGGCGCACCATGAGGATGGTGCGCCCGGTTGCAAAACGACGCAGCTTCACTCTTTTTTTTTTTGCTTTTGTTGTTTAAAAATGATGATAACTTTCTTATTTTTGATCCGATTTTTATACAATTTATATCAACATTTTTTATTTTTCATGATCTTTCAAATGAGACCAATATTGCTTATGCAATGTTAAGAAATTATCGAACTATTATATTAATGAGTATTGGATTATAAGGAAAATCGAATCTGTTAGGGAGATGATAGGTTTGTGAAATAGAAGATTGAATCTGTTTGGGAGTGGATCAGTGGCATCAGTTACATTTGATAATACATCGAGTTACATCTTTTTATGAACGAGTTACATCTTTTTTATAAGCAAGTTACATCTTTTTATGAACGAGTTACATCTTTTTTATAAGCAAGTTACATCTTTTTATAAGCAAGTTACATCTTTTTAAAAGCGAGTTACATATATATAAACACGAGTTGCATTTGACATGCCTGAACGCGACTTACATATATTTACACGTAAAGTTACATATTTTTACACGTAAAGTTACATATTTATACACGCGAGTTACATATTTATACACACGAGTTGCATTTGACCTGTCTGAATGCGAGTTACATATTTTTTTTACGTAAAGTTACATATTGTTACACGTAGAGATACATATTTATACACACGAGTTGCATTTGGCTTGACTGAACGTGAGTTACATATTTTAACACGTAAAGTTACATATTTTACACGCAAATGTTAATATGTTAAAATTACATAGGCAATATCGGTCTCATTTGAAAGATAATGAAAAATAAAAAATGTTGATATAAATTTTATAAAAATCAGATCAAAAATAAAAAATTATTACCATTTTTTAAAAACAAAAGGAAAAAAATATATATCCGTATACCGGTATACGGTACTCACAGTATACGGGTCGTACGGTATATGCACTCAATTAAATACCCATCAAGATGGCATTGTTTTGCAATCAACATGATTTTATCGTTAGATGCATGATGGTATTCATAGCGGAAGTATATTGTCATCATGATGACATATATTCTTATTTAGAGTGACATGAATTACTGAACAAACGTGAACTAGCTTTTTACGTAGTATTAAAGATGACATTGTAACATTGTTTACATTCACTCCTAAGTTATTTTATTCGAGTGCTTATACCGTGCAACCGGTATACGGTGAGCACCGTATACCGGGACGGTTTTTCTTTTTTTTTTTCCTTTTGTTTTTAAAAAATAGTAATAACTTTTTTATTTGTGATCTGATTTTTATAAAATTTATATCAACATTTTTTATTTTTCATGATCTTTCAAATGAGACCAATATTGTCTATGTAATTTTAACATATTAACATTTGTGTGTAAAATATGTAACTTTAAGTGTTAAAATATGTAACTCTTCAGTCAAGTCAAATGCAACTCGTGTGTATAAATATGTATCTCTACGTGTAACAATATGTAACTTTACGTAAAAAAATATGTAACTCGCATTCAGACAGGTCACATGCAACTCGTGTGTATAAATATGTAACTCGCGTGTATAAATATGTAACTTTACGTGTAAAAATATGTAACTTTACGTGTAAATACATGTAAGTCGCGTTCAAGCATGTCAAATGCAACTCGTGTTTATATATATGTAACACGCTTTTAAAAAGATGTAACTTGCTTATAAAAAGATGTAACTTGCTTATAAAAAGATGTAAATTGCTTATAAAAAGATGTAACTCGCTCATAAAAAGATGTAACTCAATGTATTATCAAATGTAAATGAGGTCACTGATCCACTACCAAACAGATTCGATCTTCTATTTCACAAACCTATCATCTCCCAAACAGATTCGATTTTTCTTATAATCCAATACTCATTAATATAATAGTTCGATAATTTCTTAAAATTACATACACAATATTGGTCTCATTTGAAAGATCATGAAAAATAAAAAATGTTGATATAAATTTTATAAAAATCGGATCAAAAATAAAAAAGTTATTATCATTTTTAACAACAAAAGCAAAAAAGAAAAAAAAAATCTGATCCTACGTCGTTTTTGCAACCGGACGCACCATCCTCATGGTGCGCCGGTTGCACCATATAATTTGCGATTTTATTCATGACAGGTGGCATGGAAACATCATAGAACTATAATTGCACCTTTACCCTTTTTTTTATAATCCTAAGTGTCGAAGTTTGTGCTCCCATAATCCTGAAATTTATGAACTAACATCCAAAGCTCCTAGACAGTTAAATTCAGATTTGATCACAATCAGTCTCATCAGTATTGGCTCCAAAGGACGAATCCAACATGACTTACATCACCTTTCAGGCTGCTCCTCCCACCACACGAACCCGCTACCTTCATTACCATCCTCTCCCTTCTCAGCCGCTAAGCAACTCCGTGAAGGTAGGACGAATTATTGGGAGCAAGACCTCCCTCATATTAGAGTTTCTTTCTTAGGCGCTCCATATATTTTTAAATAAAACAAATGTTAGTGCACCGACTTAGGGTGTTTTTGTTTGGATTGAGATTTCCTAGGCTCATCTGGGCTGAGCAGGTCTAAACTGGTATGATCTGGTAATTGTATGGACTCTGTGTATTTTACAACTGTCCAAGTCTGGTCTTGTTTGATCAAAAATGATATTGAAAACGGTCCAAATAAAAACACCTTTAGTGATATAGCCTGGGCGAAGCTAGTAGAGGGCTTGCCCTGATCCAACCCAAATTTTAAAAATGTCTATATTTTTAGTGTAATAAAATTCGTGTAATTTTTTTTCAAAAATATTCTTTGTATCGGTCGGTCCAGTGCCCTGGCTCCGCCCCTGGTTATAGGTAGAGACTTTTTAGTTTTTAGTGCAAACGAATTATTTCGAAACAATGGGCCCCAATTTTACAAAAGGCGCTAGGCGCTAGTTGAGCGCCAGCCTAGCATCAAATTGGCCTAGTCGGATCGATTAATCGACCTAGTCGGCCTAGTTGACCCTAACTGTAGAGCACTAATCGGCCTAGTCGGCCAAAAAGTCATATCGGTCTAGTCGGCCAAAAAATCGGCCTAGTCGACCGCCTAGGCGCTAGGCTAAGTAGCACCGGGACGGAAGCGGAAACGGAAATGGGGACGGAAACGGGGACGGGGAAACTCTAATCTCAAAATATCAAGATACGAGTACGGCAAGGAAACGTCGAACTAAAAATTTAAATTTTAGTAATATAGATAATATATTTACGTTCAATAAATACAAAATAAATATAACAAACATATTTCTTTCTTATAATACCACAAAAGTGTATTATGAGCACCAAGAACTCCCTGACCCACTCCCAACCTCACTACAAGAACCTTCCATATGGTTCGTACTTGAAACAATAAGCACTCAATTTATGGAAGCACTGAATTTATGGAAAAGATTAAATACGAAGCTAACAAAAATTCCCAGCCGTCGAGCAGAGTAGCAAACCAACAGATTTTGGATACTCTCCGCGTCGAGCTTCTGCGCCGATAGGGACTGGGAGTGCGAAAGTCAACCAAGTTTATTTATTTTTAATTAAGAAACGGGTAGGTCCACTTAAAAAACGTTTCTGAAACGTTTCCACAACCCGGCCCAACAACCCAATATCTCAGAAACCTTTCCCCAGCGTTTCCGGCCGTTTATAGGCGTTTTCCGGCGTTTCCCATTTCCGAAACGTTTCCGGGACGGAAACTAGAGGAGGAATGCTGTTTCCGTGCTTCCTAGACGCTAAGCGCCTCTCAACCGTCCGACTAGCGCCTTGCGAGTTTTAGAACAATGCGTAGTATATAACTAAACACTTAACTTCATTGTGTTATAAATATAAATAATAATAAAACTTAGGCATATACACAATAGAAAAAATATTCCTAAACTCAAAGCTGAAACATGGACGGTTATAAGTTGTTGAACATTTTGTCTTGGTTTTTGTTATTTAACGTAAACATGGCTACACATCCTATCTATTCTACCGCATTGCACACGTAATTATATTATACAGTAAGATTTACAAGCATTAATCTTTTTTGCAACCTTTCGTTTCTCAGGCTTGGTTGGGGATGATCGTTAGCTAGCTTTCGGTGTATGATTCTAACGTACACAAGATATATACATCATGTCGGGAATAGATTACTCATGCTTATTTTAATTAATCATGTTTTGTTTTGTAAGGATAATGATTGACAAACTAGTGTTTTACACTACCAAAACACGTCTAGAAGGGCAGGTTTGGGGCAGGGGCAACTGGCATAATGCCATATCTTGACCCAGATTCCAATTGCCCACCAGGCCCCATTATATTTGCAACTTATTGGGTAAGGAAATTGGATTCTGCTCAAATTGAGTGAACCGGTTAAATTGTTTGAATCTGCTAACTTATTAAATTGAGTGGATATGCTAAATAGGCTAAATAATTGTTTAGCTCATTTATTAATTTTGAAATACAGTCATCAAAATTATTCAGTCGTAACAATTAGTTTCCCGCAGGAATTAAAACTACAATCTTTTGTTTACATTAAAAGACTTGCTATTGTTCACCCGTTGGTCCCCAGGTTTTTTTATTACTACTATTTCTAATAGAAATTAGTTCAAATAGGACTAAAACAATGGCAAAAACCTAAACTAGGACTTGCTATGTTTTTATTCCAAAATAGGACCATATGAGTCCTATTGGAAACATACCTATTTTGGCATTCCATTCTTACCCTTCCATTAAATATGAATTAAAAATAGTCAAAAGCCATAATTAAATATTTAATTCATAATAAATTCGAAAAAAAATCAAAAATTCGTAGAAATATAAGTAAAAAATTTATAAAAATTTTATAAAATTAAAAATTCATTTTTTTTAAATAATTTTATTTTTAAAAAAATTAATAAAAAATAGTAAAACTCCGTAAAAAAAAAATTAAAAAAATATGGATGCCTTTCCCACCGCCTGTACTACCTCCCAGCACCACCACCTCCGGCCGATGAAAAAATGCCATTTTCCCAGAAAAATGCCATTTTTTTCTGAAAATGCCAAAAAAGTGGCATATTTCTCTTTTCGAATGCCAACATTTTCATTTTTTTCTGCCATAAATATGGCATTCGTAATGAACTTGGCATTTTTTCCCCTGGTGACTTGAGGTGGTGGTGCTGAGGCGGCAGAGGCGGCGGCGATTTTTTTTTTTGAGCTTTTATTTTTTTTTTAATTTTTTTTAATTTTTTTATTTATTTTTTTAATTTTTTGAAAAAAAAAATAATTAAATTTTTAATATCGAAATGTTTTTCTTAATTTTTTAGTATTTTTTACGAATTTTTATTATTTTCTATTATTTTATTAGGAATTAAAACATTTTAATAGCTATAAGGGTATAATTGTCCAAGGTACACATAATTAGTCCTATGCAAACATAGTTTATTTTTTTGTCCTATTTGTGAAAAGTGAATGACTTTTAGTCCTATTTTGATAATTAACTCTATTTCTAAACGTTTTTAAACCTTTTGTCCTTTCCCACCATTTTTAGCTTTTAAATAGATCTCAACCCCACGACCAAAAAAAAATGAAAATCTCAACCCCTTTTAAGTTCCTTCTTCGCGATTTCACAACCGTGCTACTTATACATAGTGATTTAAACGCCGGTTTACACGCCAAACTATAATTGTCTGCGCACAGACAATTGATTTTCATTTTTAATAAAGGGAAACGTCTGTGACCCCAAAAATTGAATTGTCTGTGCACAAATAATTCGGGAACACAAACGTTTCCCCTTGCTAAAATGAAAATCAATTGTCTGTGCATAGATAATCACACTTGACGTGTAACCCAACGTGTAAACAAGAGTATACAAGTAGCATTGTTCATGATTTTAATGCAAAAAAGATGAGACATCAACCGGGACCGCCCAACAAGCATTGCCAGACCCAGAAAAACACATTAGGCCGGAAATTATTTGTGTACAATATCAAAAGGTCGAACTATTTTGAGATAAAATTTGAGTTGAAAAATTTATATGTAAGTGGAGTAAATGTTAGTTTAAATGAGTATTAGAGAATTATTGACTTGATATGTATGTAGTATATTATAAACTTCATGTAGCTAAGTAGCTAAAGAGTGAATTAGGCGAGATTTTTAAAGTTTGGAAATAAAATTAATTCAACCAATCAACCTTTGTCAATCACAATTCCCAAGTTTAGATGGTGCTGATTTTTGTAGGATTCACAACTTTTGACTCGTAATGAATAATGAGAGTCATCTTCTATTATACAAAAGGAAGAGAAAAAATGAACAGTGTTCCCGCCCAAAGTTATGGATCAAAAACGGGTCGGGTTGGTTTTACATGGGTGCAAAACGGGTCATGTGGCTGGCCCAATGTTATTTTTAATGCTGGCCCAATATTCAATGCTCCAGTTGTGTGGCTCGAGGCTTTGCTGCCTGAATCCATGCTCTGCCGTCTACATAATGGAAGTGACTACTTTGTACTTTATTTGATGTTAAGGTCGAGTGTATTAAAAACAACATTAAGCAGGCCCGGTATCCTATGCTTCCAATTTGAATGGTTGGTGCCTTTATAAATTAAAAAGTACCCTAATGCGTGCTTATTAATCTTGAGCCCAATGTCCAATGCTTTATTTTGTGTGGCTCAAGAAACAATAAATGCATTGAGCTCTAATCAATAAAAAAGAACCTTGAGCCACACAAACATTTAATGAAGTGTACTTTCGTATCTTAAAGTTCTGATTGCATATGAAAAAAGATTAAATGGATTGTACTTTAATAGCTTTAGTTGCGAGTATATTAAAAAAAACTGTGCAGCAGAAAACATTTATTGCATACATCATTCTAAAATCCATTGGTTAAAACATAACAGTTAATAGATCTTAAAGGGCTATAAATACCACTTCGCTTGAATGTTTAACACCAAAACTCAGCTACTCTGATTGGCAAATAAGCAATTCCAATCAGGTATCATCTTAAAACTTCTTTAAGGTAAACTGCATTTCATTGCATCTCTTCTGGTAGTGTTTATATAAGGTTAATATTTATATTTATATTTAAATATATTCACAGGGAGGGCAGATTTATGCTCCAGTGAAAAGGCCACAAGTTGGTAAGTAAATGTAAAAAATAAATCAGCAGGTTAAATATACAAGTTTTTTTATCATAAAAAAGAAGTTTTCTAATTATTAAACAAAAACAGAATGGGCACAATAGAGCAACCTTTATTGATACGTATCCAATGTATCAATATTTTATTAATGCAGACATAACTCATGGGGACAGAGGGAATGAATCAGGGATGGGTAATCACAATGACATATCTTTATTAATTTTTTGCTAATTTTTTTTGGGATAGATTAATTAATGATTGGCAAATTTCTTTTGCAGGTTACATACTTCGTATATTCTAACAAAAACCGAGAAAAACTATTAAAGAGAGTGATTATTTAAAACAAATGGTTTTATTTCGGGAATTAAATAAATGTTTATTCCAAAAGATTCAGTTAACACATGTTCTGTAAAATGATTAACCCAAAATATATACGTTTTTATAGCAATTAAGAGTTACTGAAATAACAAAATGATATTGATAAGGAGGTTCATACCTGCCTTTGAAACTGCAAAATCTTAGAACCTGCATATCGTATATATTTTAAACTAATTAATGATTACATTTTCCTAATGAATATTACATAACTGGCAACCTTATTAAGGTCCCAAAACCTATTAATGGTACATTTTCTATACAATAACCTAATAACTAAAAATAAGAGAAAGACATCTAGCTTGGCCAACAAACCTGCACGATTTATGGTGAATAAGATTCCAGAATAATAAAAAAAATTAATTACAATATTGCACAATGTTTGGCTTTATGTGTTATGCTTCAAATTTTTTTAAGAGACGTCTTTCAAAAAATTAAAATATCAATGTTTGCTCCACTTTACATTGAAGTGCAACTTCTTCATTGCTGAAACTTCAGACATCTAATTAATATCAGTGAACACATTTTTTAAACTGTCACATAATCAATGAGGATAAAAATCAAAACACATCTAACTTTTAAAAGACTTTAAAGAATATATATCTTAAAGACGCTTAATTTTTTTAATTTTGTTCAGGAAATAAGAAAGAAATGAAACCATTATTCTTTAAGAGCAAGATTGCACTTCAAGATTATGAGCATATTTATGTTTCCCTTTATATCTATGTTGGCTTAATATTAAGGACCATGTATTTCAGTTTTGAAATAACAATATCATACATTAGCAGTGACCTCTAGAACATAGATTACACTTTTAGCTACATCACCACATAAATCTGTTGGTTTAAAAATGTATTTTTTAACCGTAGATGAATAATAAGTTCAAAATTTTTGAATGTATTTATGTAAAATGCACTTTAATGTTTCAAAATAGATTGCTTCAAATTTGTGGCACTTTAAGAACAACAGGAATGATGCTATAACAACAGCATGGATGATGTTAGGGGCATGGATATATGTTATCATAATTTATAGAATAAACCTAGAGGTTGAAGTACAATTTTACTTAATTTCAATCATTTCAAATCACAAAACAGTCCCGTGTTCTATAATTTTCACTATAGGATATCTCACTTTAATTAATTGTTCAAAATAATTAAAAGCTCTTCATTTCAGAATTTGTGGCACAGGACTATAGCATATCTCACTTTCAAGAAATCTGTTTGTTTGTGTCTATCATAAAACATAAATAATGCACGGGGTATCCGATATTATGACAGATCTGTACCCCATAATGATAATTCCAGACATATTTGTTATTCCATCACTGATTTATTATATGTTTTCAAAAAAAAACAAGAGATTTATACATAAACCACTTGATTAAAAAAAGATTTTTGTTAATCCAGACCTCAAATACTCAAAGAAATCTTATAAATGCTCGGTCAATTAAACTAACTGAGCAGATTTACAAAACGGTGTAAACCCTTTTGCCTAAGCTTAAAGAGTGAAAACATGTATGACAAGTAGGAATGAAGAAAAACGACAACCATTTTTCAGACAAGAAAACCAACATCATCAAATCAATCTAAAATGTGATAGTAATTGAAGATAAGCACACAAAATCAAAAGTAAGAGAAAATAGTAATTTTAACCACTCAAAAATATTAAATGTGTAAGACAAAGAGGAAGGGGATATACCCAAATCGGGAGAGTAAAGAGCACATGGTCTGAGAAAATATAATGGTCGGATATGAAATAATTCCAGCCACCATAGAAATTTCTTAAACCACCATCGAAGTTCCAACGGTCGGATAAGGAAGCGACTAACACCGAATAGCATAGATTTCACGATTTCATCATAAGTAGTGTGGGATTGGGGGCTAATATTCGATGATGGATGATAAACGAGGTTCAACTGAGCTAAGTATGAGTGGCCATCGGATTAACCGATGGTCCTCTCTACATGGGTACGAAGAATGAAATGAAGTTGCGCAGGGGAAGCGTACGGATAAATGAGAGGTTGAGGAAGATACACACCTTATACATGGCTAAGTTAGGTTTGGGTAGTTGGGTAGGTTTTAATATTTGATTTTGGGCTGGGTTATATGGGCTGGCTGGGATGTGCATATGTGCGTTTTGAAAGGTTGATGTGGTTATGGTGATTATCACATTGTATTTTTTTTTGGGAAATTACCCAAAATAGGAGCAAATGACACTTGGAATTCCAAAAATAGGACTACTATATTTTTCTTCCCGAAATAGGAGTTATTACTGTCATGTATGAAAAATACTGCCATGATTGAAAAATACTGTCATTAATTATAATAAATATTGTCATGTTAAATGCACTGTACTGCAACTATTTGGCAGTCACGGCTACAAGATGAAAGTAAATATTGCCATGTTGGTCCCATTTTGGGAATAAAAACAAAGTAGTACTATTTTGAAATTTCAAACTTCATTTACTCCTATTTTGGGAAATCTCCCTATTTTTTCATAGGTTACTCATTACTATTACTATTATTACCATTATTATTGTTATTATTATTATTATTATTATTATTATTATTATTCTATCAACAAAATTATTAGCATTATTATTAGTATTAGAGTTCGTTTGGTAACTCTGTTTTCGGCTTATCAGGTTTATCTGCCAATTTTTTAACCAAACATGTAATTTTTTATTTCGCACGCTCAATGGTGTAATAATAAGAAAAAGTAAGGTTGTAGTAACTTTTCTGCCTGTATTGGCTGAATTTACTTTAGATGACCATTTTAACTCTTTTTTAATATTATTTTTTCTTTGTTTTATTAATAAAATATATTTTAAATATAATATTTTCATAAATCAGCAGAATCAACCAAAACAGCCACTTCAGCCAGCACTTCATAAATTTCAGCAAAATCAACTGATTCAACCGATTTCGGTATTACCAAACGAGCTATTTAGTATTATTATTAATATTACTATTACTATTACTATCACTATCACTATCACTATCACTATCACTATCACTATCACTATTACTATCACTATCACTATCACTATCACTATTACTATTAATATTATTAAATTATATGTTAATATATACTACCTCCGCGCAGACAAAACTTAAGGCCCACTATTCTTAGAGAAACATAAGTTGTTCTTAATCTTTTATTTCATATATCTAACTTTTATCTGATTTAAGTTTTTTGCAACTTCATAAAACCTTTTAGTGAGAATTCCGAAATCGATCATACTATCATTGTTGTTTACAAGGAAGTGTTTCATAATGTATACACCACGTAAACAGATTTAATATGTACCTCTGTTTTCTTTTCGCTCAACACAAACAATTCCCTATAATGGTTTTATATGCAATGACAATCAACAAAAGTCAAGGGCAGTCGCTATCTCATGTTGGGTTATTCTTAAAAACCTCTGTATTCTGTCATGGTCAACTCTACCACTACTAGAAAACTGCTTTTTAACAATAAAAAAAGTGGTCGTTAAATGGTATAAAAGTCATCGTTAAAGTCTTTTAATGACGAAAGAAGTTTCATCGTTGAGTTGTCGTAATAGCCTCCCTCGTTAAAGGTTATAACGACCATGTTCGTCGTTAAAATTTACCGACAAAAAAAGAACCCGTCGTTAATTATTAACTATAACATTGATGTTCGTTGTTAGTCAACAACGACAAATAACATATTCATTGGAATTTATTTATTGCTTTTACTATTATTATTAATAATAATAATTATATAAAAAATTATTATTATTAATATTAATTGTAAGATATTTGGAATAACACCCAACTATTAAACAATAACGAGTAACTTTGATTTGCTGATTTCCAAGTGCTATTTTAATGATACAAGAGGACAAACCCAAGTAATATTTACAACAAAGTTGAATATAAATAAAATAACTCAATAAAAGTGTCAATTTTGTATTACCACATAAATGAAATGCAATCTCATATGTCAAGTGTACATGTTTAAGGTTCTTCTTTAGGCTTTAGCTGAGAAAAATGAAAATACATGACAGGTTGTAAAGATACAATATCATATCTAAACATAATTGTTCCTTGATTACAAAATACGGAGTAAATACTAAAACAGAACTTGTTGAAATTGATGAGTGGCATCTTCTCATCTTCAAATACTTATAACCTATTAAAACAACCACAACAACAACAAATGTTTTAGAGCTCATCAGTAAATAAAATACTTCGTATGAATAGTTCAATAATACTTGGCAAATATCTCCAGATCTATAGTGACATGACTCACATCACATTTAAGTTAATATAGAGAACAATTTGTAGATGCCATGCCCATCTATTTAATATCATGAATAAATCCTCTAGTGTTAGATGATAGTATCACTATAGATAATACGAAGTATGTTCTAAGAAGATGTGCTCAAAACAATAAATCAACACCCATATATATATATATATATATATATATATATATATATATATATATATATATATATATATATATATATATATATATATATATATATATATATATATATATATATATATATATATATATATATATATATATATATATATATATATATATATATATATATATATATATATATATATATATATATGTTAGTTAATTAGCTAAAGTCATAGTGCTACATTTTATTAATCATATTTCACACAATAGAAATAAAATAACCAAGTAACCAACCTTCCAACAAAAGTTCCTTGGGCACAGGTCTAAACTGCACGTCACACTCAATTTTTAGAACCTACTCTGCAGCTTTTGAAATGGATGTCATGTTACAAATTGGATGTTCCAGATCAACTTGAGAAAAAATAATTAGCTGCAATATACTCCGTACTATTTACTATGTTTAAAAAGTATTTAGCTTCAAAAATATCATGAATGACTTGGAGACATTAAAATTATCCGAGTAAATAAGCTAAAAAAATAAAAACTCTGACTGAATAGATAAAGTTCAAGAAAAAATTACCAAACCATTTACATATAACTTTTCACACATGTAATCATGTTTTATGTCAATAAGTTTCAGCTCTTACTAGTTGGATCTCAAAATTGAAAGTGTGTTGTTGTTTCATGTACCTGCAATGACCAGATTCCACTCTGAAAGCTTATTATATGAAAGCTTATGTTAGAGATATTACCTCGAAAATTTAGAGACATTTATCTAGAATATGCATGTTACTATAAGAATGGTATCCTGCAATGACCAGATTCCACTATGAAAGCTTCTTTATGTAACAACCTGGAACACCCCCTAAGCAACAAAAGAATAAAATTTCAAAAACAATGGCAAAGTATAGCATTTTTAAACAACATCAATAAAATTCATTCAGACTAAAAGCACAAAATCAGTTGGCCCAACTGAAAAACCATTAAGAAAAATTAGTACGAATATAAATTATGGAAACATAGCAATTCGAAATCACGTGAAAACTTTATAGTGATTGGAGTACGTTGCTTCTATTTCTAGCATCAATTATTAACATTGCTTTCTGAAAAGGAAGGCAATTCATCCTCTCTAAAAAATGGTGTGCTCTTCTCTTTATGATGAACTATGCTCGTGAAACCATAAACTTTAAGTTCCTGCTTTTAACTTATATAAAAAAATCAGCATATAAATCTGAATAAAACAACATCAAGTTAGATAATCCAATAAACATAGTATTGAATATAAATCTAATATCTATAACTCATGTGTAGAGCATAAGATGCCTGAAATAAATGACAACAGAAAACCTAAAGAAAAACTAATCAATTGAAAAGTAGGACAGAGGACAAAGTAGAAGAAACTCTTTCCTTTTGAAAAGTCTTAAATGTGATAGCATCAGTGCTCAAGCTTGAGAAACAAGAGAGATATGATGAGGTAATCGAGATTGCGCTGCTAAGGATTGAAAACTAATAATGGTAATTCTCACCCGAAGAATATAAATCTTGAAGATTTATCTACCAATAAATAAATATACTTCATATACATTTTTAAATCCATCTAATTTAGTTTGTTTTAAACAAAGAAAAAGAAAAGAATAGATCTTCCCAACAAGTTTAAACATATGACTTCAAAAAAAGACTCATTCTTCCCCATGAACTTATACAACCTGTATTCCTTTAGAGCTTATAATAACTGGCAAAACATCAGATATTTTCAAAGAAAAACAGAAAAAGATGAAATTTAGAAGTGCATTAACTACGTTAGCAGACTGTTATCATCAATAATAATAACCTAAACGTGAGTATTTTAGTTCATCAAAATAATGGATTTAGAGAGCTGGAAAAATCACACAAATCACAGTTTTCTCGTGGTTCACATTGTTAAGGGATATCCTCCTACAACATTAAAGCCTGATACATAAAATATGTTAATGTTTTAAGTTTTATAGTGTAAGCATATTTAATTGATATCACTACGGTTATAACCTTCTATAATAAGATATAAATAGCATTTTCTTCATTTTTGTTATACAGAGATTAAGCAAAAGACAAGTATTTACATCTCCAAACGATCAAAATAACCCAAATAAAGAAAGCTTTCAAACTAATCAAACTAATCACACTCCATTCTATCAGGGAATATGCAAAACAAACAAGTTTATATCAGTTCTTCATTTGTAGATCTTAAACACGGAAAACTAAAACAAAACAAAAAGAGAAATTAAGTAAAATATGCTGAAATATAAAGAGAATATGAGAGATTAACCTAGAGTTTTTTTCTTAGATGTAGCGAGATTGAAAGAGTCAGAACTAGGGTTAATAAATTTATACAACAATCATCTAGATTTTCTGAAAAAATGTAATAAGTGTTGAAGATTAAAGTTACCTGGACAAGAAAAACGACCAATCGATTGAGAATAAAAGAAAACCCTGTTGGTTGATAACATCGGAAGGAAACTTTAAGCAATCGAGACATACAAAATTTTCAGCAATCGAGCGAGAGGAATGCTTAATTAGCAATTGAGCAAGAAGAAAGCTCAATAACTTAGCAATCGAACGAGAGGAAACTTTCGGCAATTGTTCAAGCGAGAAAACTTTC